CTGCTTTTTGATAGAGTGCTATCTCCTAATCCTACTCTTCTAACCCTTCCTTTTTCCGTCTTGATCTTTTTTTTACATTTATTTGCCTCTTAATTTTTGACTTCTACAACATTTAGCTTTCCTTCTTTGGACAAATTACCATAATGAATTTATACAAAACATCCAAATGAAATTATTTCTCTTTAAAATCACTGTAGGAATAATGAAACTGACTTAGGTGGTTTGTTCCTAGTTGGAACCACTCCCATAAATTTTTTTCATATTTAGAAATCTGCCCTTGGAAAATTTAGTCTTTTGGATTCATTCATCTCATTTTCATTCTTAGTCATGCATCTCATTCAGTTCATTCTGTCTTCATGACAGTCTCCTCACTATTCTTGTTCGCTTTCTGGATATTCTCCCTTTTGTGTAGTGCCTGTCTTGGTATATTTTTTTATTTTTTAATTTTTTTAAAGATTTATTTGTTTATTTTATACAAGAACCGGGTACAGGCCAGATGTGTGGGAGGGTGAGAGGATTCACCAGAGACAGAGTGGGGAAACAGAACAGGCAGACTGACGAAATACACTGCTGAGAGGAGCAGCCGGCGAGACAGGAGAGGTCTGCCGTGACATGTGGGACCCTCGCCGGTCAGCCGGGATTGAACTGGCGCTGCAGAGGCTGCGGACAGCTTCACAGCGCGGCGCTCAACTGCCTGCCCAGTAGTATATTTTTTTAAATACTTATTTATGCATACAAGAGCTGGGGCTCAGGCAGGAGATGCGGTGGGGGAGAGGGGAAGGATTCACCAGAGTCAGAGTGGGGAGCAGAACAGGCAAATCTGCTGAAATACACTGCTGGGGGGAGCAGCAGGCGAGACAGTCTTGGTCAGCTGCCCTGGCCGGAGATAGAACTCATGCTGCGTGGCTGTGGATAATTTCACAATGCTACGTCTTAACCCCTTGTGCCACCAGGGAGGCCCTTGATACATTTTTAAAGAAATATACTCTAGATTTGATCTCACCAACACAGTATAGAATTAAATCTTTTCTTTAACTATGGTTCCTAATATATCTCGGGACCACATTATCCTTTTCAATATGCACATCACCGTATTGAGGCATAGGCAGAGAAACTGTGGCTTAATGTTCGTATAGGGCAGATTTCCTAGTTGGAGTTACACCTTCATTAGTTATACATTCACTAGCACATCTCATTACATTGCTGGGGCCCTACTGTCTTCTCTAAGATGGAGATTAACTGTAGTTTCTGCCACATAGCAAATGTTACAGAAGTATATCAAATGAAATAGTCCATATAAAGTGCATAGTATGTGTCAAAAACATATGTTACTAAAATGTTAATTATTCTCAGTTGTCTGTTGCTGCATGACAATCAAAACTTAGTGACTGGAAATAATGTATTCTTTCTTGTGATTCTGTGGCCTGGTTAGAATCTGTTGGACAGTTCTTCATATGGTAGCTGGGTCACTCATTGCTCCATTCACCTGGGAGTTCAGCTGGGGCTGACTTGGCATTTCTTTTCATCAGTGGTTTTTTTTTTTTTTTTAAAACATGGCTACCTCAGGACTCCATGAGAGCAAATGGGGAAGCTGCCAGTCTTAGGTCCAGAACTAGAGCAGTAATCTTCCAGCTCATTCTGTTGGTCAAATCAAATGAGCAGAGTTAGCCCAGACTGAGGAGAAAGCAAAAATAAGTTCCATCTCTTTGGCAGGAAGAGAAATGGCATCCATGAATGGGGATGGCTGGGATATTGGTGGAGGCCATTTTTAGAAACAAGTCTACTGAAATTCCCTTGTATAGTTAGCTTTTTTGAACCAGTGTTAGCCCTTTTAATCTTCAATCCAGTCTCTCTCGCTTTTTTTTTTTTAAATACTCAAGGTTCCTAGCTTTATATCATCAGAAGATTTGATAGATAAAAGTATTTCTCAGCCTCTTATTTTTTTGATAATGTTTTTGAAGTATAATTGATACAAAAAGAATTGTACATATTTAACATATACAGTTTGAGTTTGCTTTCCCAATTTAGAGTCGGCATTTTACCTGACGCATTCGCCACTGCTTGTGACACATGGTCCTTTTGGACTGTCATTAGATCAGTAAGCATCCTGACGCCTGTTCTCAACCTTTTTGTTATTTGAAGGTTCTGATTAATGGTTGTTTTAATCAGCTGGTATGGCTAAATCAGTGCTCACCTTGAGAGAATAGGTGTTTAATTGCTAATTTAATTCTCAGTAAAATTAACCTAGGCCTAAAAGAAAATATTTTTAGGGTTACCGAAGTTACTGCTTATAAAATATGGATTATTTATTCTTGTAATATATAGTGACACCTTGCCTAAATAACTTACACAAATTATCTGGTGTGTTCCTTAAAGTTTTATCTTCAGTGATTGACCCTTTGCTAATTGCATATTTGTGGCTTTCATCTTTACATACATGGTGGGTTAGTCATTGTTAAGTGAAGGACATGATTAGGTAGTATTCTTAGTTTTGGGTTGTATTACCTACTTAGACTTCTTACCCATAAAGTTAAAACTGTTTCTCGTTCAGCATTATATTCTCAGTGCATGGTGGCTTTAGAGTGTTTGCAAATGTAAAAAATAGTCTTTTTCATTCTTTTTTTTTTTTTTTTAATATTTATTTATTTATTTATTTATTTATTTATACAAGCACTGGGTACAGTCAGAAGTGCAGGAGGGTGAGAGAATTCACCAGAGCCAGAGCAGGGAGCAGAGCAGGCAGAAGGACCGAAGTACACTGCTGAGGGGAGCAGCGGGCGGCAGGAGAGGTCTGCGTGCCATGTGGGACCCTCGCCTGGTGGCCGGGGAGCAGCCGGGGATCGAACCGGCGCTGCAGAGGCTGCCGGCAGCTTCGCAACCCAGCGCTCAATCGCTGTGCCACTGGGGAAGCCCGTCTTTTTCATTCTTACCTTTGACCAGGCTAATCAGAAATCGACTTAACCCTTAAAAGTGTGGATTATCAGTTTATACATAAAGTGACTTCAAAGCCGTTACACTATACCATCTTCCATAGTTGGGTGTATTACACATTTTGTATTAGATACAGAGTTTTAAAGGGCTGGGCATTTGTTTCTTAAGTAGAAAAACTTCCACTTATTCTAAATGAGACTATCTTCTGCTATTTCAGGGTCAGATTCCCAAAGAACTACAATAGGTGTTAAAGCAGCATGGTCAGGACAAAACACTTGAAGTTGAGAGATTTTTGAGTATGAAGGGTATGCTTGTAATAAAGATTTTATCCTAATAAAAACATTCTGATTTCAAGTCAGTGGTTTCAAATATTGGCTAACCAGAATACATTTCAGCTTGGCTTCTCACCTCCAGCCCCTTTCTACAATATAGTGCAACTTGGCCTTCCATCTGGGTATCTGTAAATTTGTAGTAGGGGAGAAGCTGGATTAAAGCTTGCTCACACACCCACCATTGTACCATAATGGGATGAACGTGCAAAGTTCAATAATTATTTAAAAACATTTCCCAAACTTTTGCATGTAAGTAGGTGCTACATAGACTAAACTATTGGGTGACTACCGAAAGAGTAGAAACCAGAATTAGGTACTCCTTACAAAAATTGATTTATTTGGGGCTCAGTCTAGTTGAAAAATGACTTCCACCTTGATGCTTAAGAGTATCTTCTTTTTTTTTTTTTTTTTTTTTTTCAAGATTTTTATTTTATTTATTTATGCATACAAGATCTGGGGTGGAGTGTAGGTCAGAGATGGGAGGGGGTGAGAGGATTCACCAGAGACAATGGGAACAGAACATGCAGATTTACTGAAATATACTGCTGAGGGGAGCAGCGGGTGTGACAGAAGAGATCTGCCATGTGGGTTAGCTCCCTGGACAGGTATCAAACTCGTGTTGCAGTGGTTGCTGATAACTTCATAGTGCTGAGACTTAACCTTGTGCCATCAGGGAAGGCCCTTAGAGTATCTTAAGAGGAAAGGTTGGTGAGATTAGGTTTTTAAAATATGGCTAAATTTTATCACTTGAATTATTATTCTTCCCTAATTTAAAAGGAAAGATGTCACTATTGTGTCTCCTACCTCTACTATGATCATCACAACTTCTGTTTTAAATTGATCGTGGAATACTATTAATAAGTTGGGATTTAAATTAGATTGAAATGTTTTAGTTTTAAACAGAATTGGAACATACCACAATTGTGCTATGTATGTCTGAATTATCTGTTGTCCGAGGTTATATCTGTAAACGTATCTATTTAATAGCTTAAAATATGTAAGATTAAAAGTCTATTAGTCAGATCTGTAATTTTCGAAATCCTACAACTATCTTAACTTAGGAAAAATATTACATTTACCTGTTGTGAAATACTACTTGAATTATAGTTGGTTTTTTTGTGTGTGTGTTGGGGGGGGTACCCTCGCTGGCGGCTAGGGAATGAACCGGCGCTATAGAGTCTGTGGGCAGCCTTGCAGCCCAGCGCTCAACCGCTGCCCCACCAGGGGAGGCCCTTGAATTACAGTTCATAACATGACATTAATTGTGCTCTACTTAATCTGCATGGACTCTTGTAGTGTCTTAAATTACTGGTTTATGTTTAAGTTGACATCTTCCCCAAAAGTTCACTTACGTTCCTTCCATTTTAATGTCATGATTTCCTCGAAAATGGAAAGTTTGCTAAATTGTTAGAAAGTATCAGTTACTGTGCTTTTCATATTAATTGGCACATGCAGTCTTTAGCAACATGTAAATATATAGCATTTTGGATAACCATTGTACAAATGTATCGTCCATAAGTGAAAAACTGAGGACTAACTTTAAATTTGAAGTATTGCTGAACAAAACATTTGGTTTGAGACAACAAATTCATAAGCATCTACTGAATTCAACAATTGTTGTATTGTCAGGGAATGGTTATTAAATTTTTAGAAATGAGATTGTGGTGTGCTCTTAAATACAGATTGATTCAGTTCCATAAATACCTTATTCTTACAATGGTTTCTTTTCTTCCCAAGTCTCTTTTGGAAAAGTTCTTGATCCCTAATGCTTCCCAAGCAGAGAGCAAAGTCTTCTATTTGAAAATGAAAGGAGACTACTACCGTTACTTGGCTGAGGTTGCTGCTGGTGATGACAAGAAAGGTATGCTTTTTTCAAGATTTGTTTATTTATGCATACGAGAACTGGGGTACAGGCCAGAGGTGCTGGGGGTGAGAGAATTCACCAGAGAGCAGAGTGGGGAACAAACAGGCAGACTGACTGAAATACATTACTGAGGGGAGCAGCGGGCAGGACAGGAGAGGTCTGCTGCGCTATGTAGATAGCTCCCTGGGCGGCTAGGGATTGAACTTGTGCTGCAGAGGCTGCAGATAGCTTCTCAGTGCTGTTCTTAACCCTTTGTGCCACCAGGGATGCCCAAAGATATGCTTTTTTCCAACATGTTAAACTCGTATGAAACGACTTAGTGCAGAAGTAGACGGTTACTAAAGCGTGAACAATTTTTTTGGTTGTCTTTTAATTGCTTTAGAGCACTGCTTGAAGAACACTGATTTTTTTTTTTAGTCCTAAGATTGTATATCTGCTGCCTAATACTGATATTCTGAAATGTATGCTTTTGAAAAGCAAATTTTATGGGTAGGGGATGTTTCTCACTATTTTAAGCAATAGTGGTCACAGCACAACTCTGTACAACATTGCAAACTAATTATGAAAAATTGTTGTGTTTACCAATTGCTGGTGTATTGTCCCAAGAGAAGCCTGATTTTTAAATCTGAGCATCTCATTTAGTTTGCTATAGCTTAATGTTTCAGATGTTAGCATTAGATGTTAAAGGTTTGATTTGAGTGGTGAAGATGAAGCATAAGCTTTTTTTTTTTTTTAAGATTTATTTTATACAAGCACTGGGTATAGTCAGAAGTGCGGGAGGGTGAGAGGATTCACCAGAGCCAGAGTGGGGAGCAGAAAAGGCAGACTGATGAAATACACTGCTGAGGGGAGCAGTGGGCGGCAGGAGAGGTCTGCGTGCCATGTGGGACCCTCGCCAGTAGCTGGGGATCGAACCAGTGCTGCAGAGGCTGCTGGCAGCTTCGCAGCCCAGCTCTTAGCCGCTGCGCCACCAGGGGAGGCCCAGCATAAGCTTTTATAAATGTATTTTGTTTTTTAGGGATTGTGGATCAGTCACAACAAGCTTACCAGGAAGCTTTTGAAATCAGCAAAAAGGAAATGCAACCAACACATCCTATCAGATTGGGTCTGGCCCTTAACTTCTCTGTGTTCTATTATGAGATTCTGAACTCCCCAGAGAAAGCTTGCTCTCTTGCAAAGACAGTATGTATTTCATTTTTTACATGGAAATTTTAGAAATTTTTATTATTTGAATGATTAATGTACTATTTCCTCATAGGCTTTTGATGAAGCCATTGCTGAACTTGATACATTAAGTGAAGAGTCATACAAAGACAGCACACTAATAATGCAATTACTGAGAGACAACTTGACAGTAAGTACATAATATATCATTAAATGGTTAATGTGGTTAAAAAGGTTGTTGTTTTATAGATTACTGCAAGTACTGTTTCTGGTTTTCATAAATGTAAAACCCTACCTGATGTTATAAATATAGAAAAGGCATTGTACAGACACTGAAATATACCAAGGACTAAAAATGTACACTTTAATTAGTTGTATGTGTATTCCTTTAATTTTTATTTTTTTATTTTTTTTAAATTTTTTTTTTTATAGAGGCATGTTTTATTTATTTATTTGTTTTTTTTTTGTTTGTTTGTTTTATTTATACATGCACTGGGTACAGTCAGAAGCGCAGGAGGGTGAGAGAATTCACCAGAGTCAGAGCGGGGAGCAGAGCAGGCAGAAGGACCGAAGTACACTGCTGAGGGGAGCAGCGGGCGGCAGGAGAGGTCTGCACGCCATGTGGGACCCTCCTCCGATAGCCGGGGATTGAACCGGCACTGCAGAGGCTGCAGGCAGCTTCGCAACCCAGCGCTCAACCGCTGCGCCACCGGGGAGGCCCTATTCCTTTAATTTTTAAAATAATGTTTTAATCCATGATTTTGGACTTTTTTTTTTAAGAATTATTTGTGCATAGAACTGGGGTATAGGCTAGAGGTGTGGGGGTTGAGAGAGGATTCAGCAGAGACAGAGTGGGGAGCAGAATAGGCAGACTGTCTCAAATGCACTGCTAAGGGGAGTAGCAGGCTAGACAGGAGAGGTCTGCTGTAACATATATGGGTTAGCTCCCTGGCAGGAGATTGACTCAGGCAGCAGTGGTGATAGTGCTGAGACTAAAACCCTGTGCCACCAGAGAGGCCTGATTTTGGACTTTTGATTACACATGTCATTTTTCCCACTTGAATCTGGGTGATTCCATTTTTTTCCATTTTAGTCACAAAGGATTTAGATTATAATACTTACAGCCTGAAGTTATCTTAATGTTTAAATTCCATTAAAAAGGGTTTTTCTGGGCCTCCTTGGTGGCACAAGGGGTTAAGGCGCAACCTATGAAGCTGTTGACAGCCACTGCAGCATGAGTTCGATCGCTGGCCAGGGAGCTACCCACATGGCACAGCAGACCTTCTTGACTCACCCGCTACACCCCTCAGCAGTGTATTTCAGTCAATCTGCCTGTTCTGTTCCCCACACTGTCTCTGGTGGATGCTCTCACCCCCTGCACCTCTGGCCTGTACCCCAGTTCTTATATGCATAAATAAATCTTTTTTAAAAAGTGTTTTTCTTGCCCATGTTAGCTCCACATTCTATAGATATGATGGTGGGTTTTGAAAATACAGTTAAATTTTAGATACTCTACAGACTCAAATAGAAATTTGTTTTGCCAAACTCTTAGTAAAAAATGACTTGTTAGGGAAGGTCATGATTGACCTTGGTATGCTCCAAATTAAAGAAAGGGCCACACTACCATTATCACACATGCATGTGTGCACACACAAATTGATAGTAACTCCTTAATAATGTTAAATACCTAAATAGTGTTAAAATTTTTGTCTCTATTTGAATTGGGATCCAAATAAAATAACACATTGCAGTTAGTTAATACGACTCTTTAGTCCTAAAGGTTTTCCCATTCTCCTTCCAATAAATGTTAAAGTTGAAGTATTGAGACTTAGGTGAATCATCTATCAGATACCTGCTATGTGCCAAGTAAACAGATAGGGGTGGGGATTATAGTCCTGTGCTATTGTTTTTGTTAGCTTTTCATATGGTCATTTTTCTTGGGAACTATACCATGTATGGTATACCTTTTACTACTTCCTATTTTATTCCAGTCCACTACAGTTTTCTGTGAACCAGTTCTATATTCTAGATTATTCTCAACAAAGACTTTTATTTGAACATTATTATAATACTTGTAATTATAATTGGGAGCTACCCATATACTTAGATTTTCAGCCAAGAGACTGTTCTAGTTTCTTACAAAATGAATTTTTTTATCTATGTCAAGTGAAAAAGCACTTCAGTTTGCTAATTTTAATATTAACTTTTTTTGTGTGTTTGTGGTTTGAAGTGATGATTAGTTATCATTTTAAAAGATTGGACATTGCGCTGTAGTAGCTCTTGCCATCACTTTTTGAGAGGTCCTGACCTAATACCAGATGAATTTTAGTATCAGTATATCATGAGTAACGTACGATAAAAACAATTTAAGAAAATCAAGTTCTGAGCCTTGGTAGAATCAATCACCTGTTATCGTTAGATATTAAATAGGCTGTTATTCCATAATAACTAAAACTAAGGTGTGTAACTTGAAGGATTAAAAAATCTTCCCCCCCCCCCATCTTTTATGTATATGCAATATAAAATGGAAGATTGTCTTGAATTAATCTTTTATTGCTAAAGAGAAATAGGACTGTTAAAAAAGGTTTAATATTGAAGCAACTAAAGTAATTTTAAAAACTAAAAAAATTGTTGAAAAACTAACCTTTGTGAAAACAGATTAACAGAGTTCATAGTCTTACCCCTGCGGGACTTTAGTTTTTAGTTCTTTTAAGATTCATGCTAATACACAAAGATGGTTTTCTAAGCTAAAAATGTCAGAAAATTTTACTTTGTACTTTTTAGTTCAGACTGGATCCTGGCTCTTGAATTTCATGGCATGTGGGATTCTCTTGGGAGTAGGAGTCTAATAATAAGCTCCACCAGGGAAAGTAGTCAACTTGAGCATGAGCCAAAGTAGATGATTCTGGTTTAGTTGCACTAAATTTGCACACATCATTCTCATATTGGGGCTAATCAGAACAACCTGATACTCTGAGAACTCCTGATACTTTAGTATATTGTAGCACTTATATGATTACTTTCTCTTTTTTTTACTTTCTTTTATGTCAATAACAAGAGTTTCCTGTATCTGTTATTTGAAGATAATGCTGCCTATGCTTACAAAATATTAGGGAGAAAGTGAATGTATTATATTGACGTATCTTGAAGCTATAATCAGTACTGCTTTTTTTTTTCTCCCAAAATCACTCAACAAAACCATGGATATATTTTACATTCTGGTATCTTGGTAATGTGTACAAATTTTTTCTAAGCCAAAACACGCTGAAAAATGTTCTCCTTCTTTTACTAGTTGTGGACATCGGATACCCAAGGAGATGAAGCTGAAGCAGGAGAAGGAGGGGAGAATTAACCGGCCTTCCAACTTTTGTCTGCCTCATTCTAAAATTTACACAGTAGACCATTTGTCATCCATGCTGTCCCACAAATAGTTTTTTGTTTACGATTTATGACAGGTTTATGTTACTTCTGTTTGAATTTCTATATTTCCCATGTGGTTTTTATGTTTAATATTAGGGGAGTAGAGCCAGTTAACATTTAGAAAGTTAATCTGTTTTCATCTTGAGGTGGCCAATATGGGGATGTGGAATTTTTATACAAGTTATTAATGTTTGGCATAGTACTTTGGGTACATTGTGGCTTCACAAGGGCCAGTGTTAAAACTGCTTCCATGTCTAAGCAAAGAAAACTGCCTACATATTGGTTTGTCCTGGTGGGGAATTTAAGGGATAATTGGTTCCGTCAAAGGTGTAGTTACTGTGGGTACTTTAAGGTTTGGAGCACTTACAAGGCTGTAGTAAAAATGGATATCCCACAGATATTACATGTTAGAACGTGTGTATTTGTGGAATACTTAATACCTTTGCCTACAGCTGCGGAAAAGTGTTCCTTGAGACAAAGTTGTGATCCAGTTTACTCGGTTAAGGGCAGATACGGTTCACATTCCATTATATGTAAAGTTACCTGCTGTTTGCTTTCATTATTTTTGCTACACTCATTTTATTTGTATTTAAATGTTTTAGGCAATCTAAGAACAAATGTACAAGTAAAGATGCAGTAAAAAAGAATTGCTTGGTATCCATTATTTCATGTATATCAAGCATAGCAGTCAAACAAAAACCCCATGTATTTAACTTTTTTAGGTTTTTTTTGCTTTTGTGATTTTTTTTTTTTTGATACTTGCCTAACATGCATGTGCTGTAAAAATAGTTAACAGGGAAATAACTCAAGATGATGGCTAGCTTTGTTTAATGTCTTATGGAATTTTCATGAACAATTCAAGCATAATTGTTAAGAACACGTGTATTAAGTTCATGTAAGTGGAATAAAAGTTTTATGAATGGACTTTACAACTACTTTCTCTACAAGCTTTTCATGTAAATTAGTCTTTTGGTTCTGAAACTTCACTAAAGGAAAATTGTACATTTTTGGACATTTATTCCTATTCCCTTTTGGCAGCTAATGGGCTTTTATCAAGTTTAAATACAAAGTTTATCAACAAAATACTACTAATTCTACTACTGTTTGCAGCCATGTCCCATATTTCCCCCCTCCCCCCTGAAAAAAAGTTTCAGGTTTCTTTTTTTGTTCTTATTTTTTTGTTTTTTTTTTTTTTTTCAGAGGTGGGGGGATTGATTGGAAAAAAATAATGTGTTCCATTTGAAATTTTTGGTATACAGCCTTTTCTAACTTAGGAAGTCACAATATTCTTGGCCCATCATGACATTGGGTAGCATTAACTAAGTTTTGTGCTTCCAACTCTTTTGTTTTTAAGAATTTCTTGATACTCTTATACCCTGCCTTCAATTTTGATCCTTTATTCTATTTGTCCGGTGTACAGGATTCCCTTTTTTAGCCTTCTGTCTTGTCACCAACCATTCCTATTTGATGGCCATGTACTTGGAATAAAGGCCGCATGATCTTTCTGGCTCCACTCAGTGTCTACGGATACCCTGCTTTCCTTTGCTTGCCTCCCACAAACTATTTCCCTCATCCTATTTACTGCAGCAAATCTCTCCTTAGTTGATGAAGAGTGTTTATCTCCCTGTAAACCCACCTATCCCAAGTGGTCTTTTGTCTGCCTTTAAAATCCTCTTTCTCTGTTTAATAATGATGGGGCTAAGTTATACCCAAGTTCACCTTACAGACTATTTCCTCAACACATTGCAGAAAACACCAAACAAAAATGCCATTTTAAAAGAGATGTTTGGTTTTTTTCCATTTAGAATGTAAGCTCCTCAAGAGCAGGGACAATGTTTTCTGTATGTTCTATTGTGCCTAGTACACTGTAAATGCTCAATAAATATTGATGATGGGAGGCAGTGAGTCTTGATGATAAGGGGGTAAGAACATCCCAAATACTGTTTTGTTACTTGTCTTATTATGACCTCAGATTAAAATTGGGAAATATCAACCCTTGGGACATTTGCCCCAAATAATTACATTCAAATAAAAGTGCAATGGAGGCCTTGGGGTCTTTTCCAGGAGAAAGACCTCTTACACATTTTGAGACAATAATGCCTCTTCTATCTTCTCCTGACCCCAGGCCAAAGATATGATCATTTTATAGCTAAGGAGAATTAAGCTAGTCTGAGGAAATGAATCTCATTCAAGTAAATTATAATAAAATCTAAAGCTTGTCACCTTTGCCTATTTATGTGCATCAGTCGTCCACTAGTTTGATTCTGAAATAAATTGTGGTAATCATTAATGCTAGCTGTTAATGTTTCCTTTTTAGTGCCCAAAAGAGGTTATAGCTGAGATTTTTTTGCCTTGGCATTTGAAATTTTTTAAAGATAACAATTCTCCTAAACCCAAGCTTTATGGTTTTTGTAAATACACATGGTGGTGTCAGGAATTTGAAGAATCTAGTGACGTTTTGTATATGTACTATTAGAATCGTTAAAAGTTTGTTGATTGTCTGATAGGATAAGCTTTTGCTGCAGCTCTGTCCTGTTGTCCTGACTTCCAGTTAATAGCTCTGTTCTTTCATACAAATTGAGGGGACATGTAAGTGTAAGACAGAACAATGTGTGTCAGGTAGCTTAATGAGCTAAATTTTTTCTCCCCTTCCTGTTTTCCCTACAAAATATTTAGCAATCCTGCTGTGTCCCAAAGCATTTCAAAACTAGTCAAGGCCAAATTTGGAAGCTGCAATCCTAAATCATTTGTGGTCAGATTTCAACTTGGGATAAAATTGAAATTGAATAATTTGGAAACTTAATGGTGAGATGTTTACAGAGCTATAGACTTGATGCAGATCTAAGAATTTTGGAGATAGTGCAGCATAACAGCATTGTTTAAATGGTAAATTTATAAATCTTTATTTGGGTGCAAGTGCATCATAGTCACTGCATGAGAACCTCTACAGTATGCTAGCAGCTTTCTAACTGGTGCTGTGTGCTCAGAGTACACAAGTCAAGATTTTGTAAATTGCCTTATATTTTGTCAAATACTATGGAAGTTATGGTGGAATTACCTAGTCTTATAATGGCAACTGAGACTGAATACTTGGAAAGTTACTGGACTTTGGATCCTTTTCTAAATGAAATGATAGAACATTTTTAAATGATTTACAGCAGTTAAAATTGGGCTCATTTTAACTCAAAAGACGAGGCCTAAAGAGATTGCTGGGTCTATTATATATATATATATATTTTTTTTTTTTTTTTTTTTTTTTTTCAGAAACTTTGAGAAGTTTCCTTAAATTCATACTCTTAGATGACAAAATGGTATCCAAGAACCAACCCATGAGCATAGATATGCTTTTAAGAACCTAAAAATTAATGTTAAAAAGGTTTATCATAGCAGCTCAGCTAGCCTCAGACGCCACTCGTGTGTCTAGAATCAGATAATGGAACATTATGCCCTAGAAATATCATGACACCTCAGTAGCAGGATACTAAACAGCATCTTCACAGATCATCCCATAGCAGCCTGTTGGGGCTTTGAGCCTACCTATGTTATAATACTAAAGTTGCAGTGTTTATACCATTTATTTAATATGTATTGGGCACTTTGAACCAAAATAAGATGCTTCTACCATGATATTCTGGGCTGCTTTGCCAAATAGTGTGAAAGTATGTTTTGAAGCAGCAGATCTGGGTCACTGTATATCGAATTTTGTTGACAATAACATGGGAAGCAAGATAAATGGTTATGTGTATGCAGATCTGATTATGCCACTCAACTGGATCCTCTGAAGTCTTGTATTTGACTGTTAAACCCCAACTGTATTAGACCTTTAGTTACTGAAATAGCAATGAGAGGCCACCTGTTTGGCAGATACCATGCCTGACAAGCATGTGTTTTTGATAAACAAATCAAGAGAATGAATATATTCAAAAACAGCTACTGTCAACCCGATGCCAGAGACCTGGATAATGGATGAGCCCCTTTTTTTTATAGTTAATTTTATTAATTGAAAGTTCTGAAAACCCAAGCATAAGCAGTGTAATGTTACAGACTTTAACTGTCCAAATTCAGAACTTAGAAACCTATTGATCCTTAAGTAGGTGCTTAGGTTTTACGACGTTACTGAATGTTCATTTGGTCCAGTCACTATTGGGAGACTGCTCAATTTGAGTCACCACTTGGAGAATGAATGGAATCCAGAGAAAGGTTATAGCATGTACAAAGGCCAAGACAAGAACTACTTCTTCCAAGCACTCTACTCTCCAAGTAAGACTGTTGAATGTAGAAGTATGGTTGTGCTTTCTAAATAATACAGGCCAGTTTTCACTTAATGCTTTAAATCACCTGAGGGGAACTTGGTTTAAATTCCTATTGCCAGCACCCAATCTCCTAAGGTTGGAGCCCCAGAATGCGCATTTTTAGAAAACTGGCTTTAACAATTCAGTGGCCACACTATTAATGTCTGCACGGGATGAGGGAGCACAGATGCTAACAGGAAGACAAGTGTAAGGCTGAATTCTGAGCCAAAGGCTGTTAAGAAACCTGAGAAGAGGTTATAAAACAAGTTTGTGGATCTCCTAGGCCATGTTTCCTAAATGAGGACATTAATAGTTTATGACACATTTTTCACATTAATGCCACTGGTTTAGTTTGGGAGCAGATACTATTTAGAACTTTCACTGGGTCAAAAGGGTATGCATTAAGGTCATGTTTTTGTGGGGTTTATCCCTTTAGTAATGCAATTGTATTTTGGTGTCGCACAGAAATCAAATCCAGTGAATAAAGGACTTAAAACTGAACTTTAAAATGCTCATAAGATATAAGTGAACAATTTGCTGACCTTGGGGGTTATAAGGAAAGTTCTCTTAATTTGGACACAGCCTAACTACAAAAATTATAAATTAGGTATTTTTTTAAGGATTTATTTATGCACACAAGAACTGGGGTACAGGCCAGAGGTGTGGGGGGTGAGGATTCACCAGGGACAAGAGTGGGCGGATTGACTGAAATACACTGCCGAGGGGAGCAGTGGGCGAGTTAGGAGAGGTCTGCTGTGCCATGTGGTAGCTCCGTGGCCGAGGATTGAACTTGTGCTGCTGTGGCTGCGGAGAGCTTCATAGGTTGCGTGTTAACCCCTTGCGCCACTAGGGAGGCCCTATAAGTTATGAATCTTAATATAAAACTACATAAAATTTTAGCTATCTGGGAGTGAAAAGCAACTGTGATTAAGACATGACAGATGAATATGAATATGTAAACTACAAAGAACAGAAAAATGAGTGAAGATTTTGAACAGGTATTTTCATAGAAGAAATTGGATACATCAGTTTAGACCACACACACATGCACACCACACACACATGCACACACCCATTTGACTAGGTCATGTCGAAACTAATTTCAAGTTGATAATTTGAAAGCCTAGTCATAGCAAATGGAGATGTGAGCTTGAGATCTTGTACACATTGCTGATATGAGTTTAAATTAGTATATTCCTTTAGAAAACTGACATCTCGTGGGGCCTCCCTGGTGGAGCAGGGGTTAGACAGGGCTATCAAGCTGTCTCTAGTCACTGCAGCACAAGTTCGAGTCCCGGCTGGCCAGGGAGCAACCCACATGGCGCAGCACACCTCTCCTGTCTCGCCTGCTTCTCCCCTCGGCGGTGTATTTCAGTAGATCTGCCTGTTCTGCTCCCCACTCTGTCTCTGGTGAATCACCCCCTGTACCTCTGGGCCTGTACCCCAGTTCTTGTATGCATAAATAAATCTTAAAAAAAAAAGAAGAAATTGGGTTTAAAAAAAAAAAACTGACCTCTTGTGAAGTTCAACATTAACATCTACTAGAGCCCAAGTGCAGCTCTTGGGTATATCTCCTAGAACATGGACTAGCAAATCGTGGGTATTCACAGCTGTAATGCTTGAATTACCCAAAAAT